CGTTAAGATTGTTTTCCTTATGGCTGAACTTCCATCGTTAAGACTGTTCTCCTTATGGCTGAACTTCCATTGTTAAGACTGTTCTCCTTATGGCTGAACTTCCATCGTTAAGACTGTTCTCCTTATGGCTGAACTTCCATCGTTAAGACTGTTCTTCTTATGACTGAACTTCCATCGTTAAGACTGTTCTCCTTATGGCTGAACTTCCATCGTTAAGACTGTTCTTCTTATGACTGAACTTCCATCGTTAAGGAAGTTCAGCTTATGGCTGAACTTCCATCGTTAAGACTGTTCTCCTTATGGGAGAACAGTCTTAACGATGGAAGTTCAGCCATAAGGAGAACAGTCTTAACGATGAAAGTTCAGTCATAAGGAGAACAGTCTTAACAATGGAAGTTCAGTCATAAGGAGAACAGTCTTAACAATGGAAGTTCCGTCGTAAGGAGAACAGTTTAACAATGGAAGTTCCGTCGTATATAAAACATTCTTTAACCAGTGAGTTTGGAACTGCTTTATCTAACTTTAGTTAAAACAGAAGTCGTATTGTGATGGGTTGTGTTACAGAGATGCCTAGAACAAAGAAGCGTATTTTACAACAGAATGTACTTACCTATTGTGGTGATGACGGTTAGGGAGTAAAGAAAAGCTCCGGAGAATGACCACTGACGGCTAGCTCCCACCTCGTAACCATCGTACCCTTTCTTCACAGCAGATATCAAGTCAGTTTGAAATTGGTCAATTTCCGCGGATACCAAGCGGGTCCAGTTGTCCTTGTACAGGACGTTCAAGTTATTTGTGATAACCCACAATCGTCTCACTGTGTCCTCTAGCATCTCAGTCACATGACTGGCCTGCTTCTCTTCGTGAGGAGCCTCCAGCGCCCTAAAGGCAAAGGCTCCCATAATGCTGTAGCCCACCACCAACGCACACAGACCCACGTGGAAGAACATAAACGCCGTGAACTGCTGATAACAAGTTTTACATTTGCTGGAGGGTGGACGTTTTTGACAAGGATAACGTCGGTTGTACTTCTTTGTTTCCATGATTTAAATTTCTTTACCTTACTTTCGTTAGGCTGGAGCTTAGATGTAACAAACACTCAACATGGCGAAACATAATCATTATCTTAAACTTCTTATATCTCTGAAGAAGTGATCAACACTGAAATGTACGTGAATGTTATCACCGATCTTCAGGGAACTCTGTCAAGTCAAGATAACGACGAAACTTTGTTTAACCTAGACATTACAAATAAAGTGGGCCTGTCGATACTAACCCTCTTTCACAACATAGTTGTTAAGCCTACCTCAAACACAACTCTTCCGTGGATCAAGCTTCAGCTACTTACTGTCTCGACAAGTACAGCACTTCTTTTCTCGATATCCAGGTTGCTGTAGTCGCGCCGTCTGTAGACAATAACAAGCATAACGTCTGGCTTTTGAAATTCATGAGTTGTAATGCTAATTTTTACGGAATATAGTACAAATTAATGTTCAAATTCCTGTAATATAATACAAACTATAATGTTCAATTTGCTATAAAGTGGTACAAATTAATGTTCAAATTATTGTAATATAATACAAACTATAATGTTCAATTTGCTATAAAGTGGTACAAATTAATGTTCAAATTATTGTAATATAATACAAACTATAATGTTCAATTTGCTATAAAGTAGTACAAATTAATGTTCAAATTATT